GGTAGAGAGGTTTAGGGGTTTAGGGTTATAGGGCTTTTGGAGAGGGGGGCGGTTGTTGAGCTTTTTTCTTGGCGGTCTTGTACATTGTGGATGGGTTGGTGGCCCTCAACATAAGCTTTTGAAGGGGTTTCAGGGCTTCGGACCAGGTTTAGGGTTTTAGGGTTTTAGGGTTTAGGGTTTAGGGTTTAGGGTTTAGGGATGTTTAGGGTTTAGGGAAAGCTTCGGACCACAAGCAAGAAGGAAGCCAAACCAGGACCCTGCACGGAGGCATCATAAATACTGGGGTCTGTAGGAGCGTACCGGAGAGCGGCACCCACGACATTTCCTTATGTCTATCCTGTTATAAGTCCCCTAAACCCCTCAACCCCTCAACCCTAAACCCTAAACCCCTACAGTAAACCCCTAAACCCCTAAGCCCCTAAACCCCTAAACTCCTCAACCCTAAACCCTAAACCCCTAAACCCCTAAACCCCTAAACCCCTAAACTCCTCAACCCTAAACCCCTAAACTCCTCAACCCTAAACCCAAACCGTTAGGAGTATTAACCGTTGATATACAATCGGCACCCAGAGGCCTCAAACGGAAGGATCTTGGAGTCATTGGGTGCTCAGTCTGTCAGGATGTTCCGCGCGTGTTGAGGTGGGGTTTAGGGTTTAGGGTTTAGGGTTTAGGGTTTAGGGTTATCGGCTCTGAATCGTTTGGTGAAGATTGTTGGACTGACATTGACATCGAGATGCCCTGAAACACTTCGGTTTCCGAGCTCGCATAGGTTTAGAGTTGTGGATGCAGGATCGCGCTTTGTACGCCTTTCTGTTTGATTCTGGGTTTCTCGTTGCTTGTGTGGAAAATCCTGCTCTTTTCAAGGAGCCGAAGCTGCTGTTGGGTTCATACGGTTGATGGTACACATCCGCATTACCCAAAATAAGGAATATACCATAGTTCCCATAGTTAAGGGTCCTGAATAAGGTAATGCAGGACTTATATCATCAACCGTAATAGCTTCTGTTGGTGTGGATCGTGCAGGATTCCGTCCACCCGCGATCCTATGACCGTGCGACGCCGCAACTGTAAGTAGCCATCATGGCAAACCCAGAACCTGCCCAGCCACTGAGTTGTGTCCCAAGTCTGTTCGAGGGTTTCGTGGATTCGGGTGTTGGGGCTTTGGGGTTTAGTGGCTCCCCTAAGCCCTCTACTCGTATACTTCTGGACTCTAGGGTTCAGTGGCTGACGGAGAAGGGGTTTCGCGTTTAGGGCTTGGGGGCTTCAGTGGTTCGCAAAGGGTCTTTATCGTACATACTTTGGGGTCCCTAGACCCTAAACCCTAGACTTAAATTGCTTCGGAGGTGATGCAATTCGGATCCCTTCCTGGGTCCAAGTTGCCTTTGCCATCTGGTGCACCCCGCCTGCACTGAGGGTTTAGTGTGGCTACTGTCCCTGCTCAGTAACAGGTGGATAATGCTGATAGATACATAGACTCTTGCTGTATGGGGGGCCGTGCCCAAGCTTAGTCCAGACTTGCCGGCAAATGCTGAACCTCCCAGTAGCTTCAAGGTGAAGAGTTGAAAAGGTTGAGGCAGTCAGCAGTCGTAGTTCGGGGCAGGTATTTGGGTTGTGGGTTGCACATAACTGTTAACGCAAGACCTATTTGCTACAGCCATAACCCTAAACCCCAACCAATAATCCCCCAAACCACTAAACTGCAAGGTACCTGCTTGGAGAGGTGCGAGCCCAAAGCCAAAAAAGACGAAGTCCTTGCATTCCATAGAGAACCCCATACCCTAATCCCTGAAAGCCTAAACCCCACGACCCTATGTAAATCCTAAAATGAAAACACCCTAAAACCCTAAACCCTCTGACCCTAAAACCCTAAAACCCTAACACCCCCTGCCCTACTCTGCCCCAAAGTCGGTCGCTGCATCCCCACATTCGGCAGGCAGCTACTCTGGTCCGCTCTTCTGGGGAGACACCTGCAGCAAGAGTGCTCCCTTGTCTCAAAGACTGGGTTCTTGTTAAGGAATTTAATTTAAGTTACCATAATAGGGATCTATAATAAATAATACGGTTTCCTTATTGTCGCAACTTAAATTAAATCCCTTAACAAGAACCCAGAAGACCGGAGAGAGATGGAGAGAGAGAGAGAGAGAGAGAAAGAGAGAGGGCTAGGGGACAGGGCCATGCAAGGGCTTGGGTTATAAAGAGAGGGCTGGGGTTTAGGGTTTTGGGTTTTTAGGGGTTTTAAGGGTTTCGTACGGTTAAGGCTTTGGGAGATGGGGTGGGCTTGAGGGGGGGGGGGAGCGTTGCTTGGGGTGCTGTCGTCCTGAAATAGCGATATGGACCCTAAACATCTCTGTCACATGATAATTTAAGCCTTAAGCCCTAACGAATTCGCCAGCCTTGCCCAATACTGCCGGCATTGGCCAATAATTCGCCGGCACGGCCAATTGGCCAATGCCGGCGAATATTTGACCAATGCCGGCGAAATGGCTTCGCGTGCACAGTCCGATAATTCGCCGACCTCGGCCAAGTATTGGCCGGTCTCGGCCGATTACTCGCCGGCATTGGCCAATAAGTCGCCGAGCTCCAAATAGTACTCCGAATATTCAAAAAATAGTCCGAACCCTAAAATATTAGTCCAAATCTTAAAACAGTAGCCCGAATCCTAAAATAGTAGTCCGAACCTTAAAATAATAGTCCGAATCCTACAAAAGAGTCCGAGCCCTAAAATAATAGTCCGAACGCTAAAATAATAGCCTGAATCCTAAAATAGTATTCCGAACCCTAAATTAAAAGCCTGAATCCTGAAATAGTATTCCGAACCCTAAACACAGTATTCCGGATGCTAAGACAGTAGCCCGAATTCTCAAACAGTAGTAAAGGAAAAGCCGGAGTCAAAAACGAGATGGAGTCAATCTTAAAAAAACCTGATTACTTTACTTACCCTAAAACCCTAAACCCTACAACCCTACGTTATGTCCCAGCAGGTGAGTCCGGGTCTGACCTTTGGATTGACTTGGCTCCTGGACGGCTGCTGGGCTCCTCGGCCGCTGCGGTGACGCAATAGGGTTTAGGGTTTAGGCTTTAGGGTTCAAACCCTAACATACAAGCCTGGATAGATGTCCGAGTATATGTCTGTGTGTATATATATATATGTATACATGTATACATATCAAGATATATAAATATATATATATATATATACATATAAGAGGCTTGAATCATGAATATATAACTCTCTGCGTTAGGGTTCTTGATTGTAATTTCACGACAATGCACCCTATCAAGCCTACGTAGTCTGATGTCCAGTGGTTACGTCAAGTCAAGTGCCCGACCTTAGATTCGTTAGATATCCTGATACCGGCCCACAAGAAGCAGGGCATCAAAAGACAAACCTACCTGGAGTAGCACAGGTACTTTTTGATGGGGAAACATAGGTGCGAGTTGGAGGTCATTGCCATGATCAAGGGCTCATGGGCATCTGTCGCCGGCGCTTAGGCAGAGTTCTTGGGGCACGAACCCCAGGCCTGAAATTAGATCCCGAGCATTACAGCCCTAAATGCTCTACTTTCTCCTTAAGCATCATCCCTTCCTTTATTTGCTCCGAAAAACCCAAGGGTGCAATTGAAGATGTTGTTTCTTGGTGTTCTTCTGGTTGGCTCTTAAGACTTTAACTTTTTGGGTTTCTATATGAACCATAATAAGGAGACTAAAAGTTTAACTTTTTGGAAGGGTTCAGAAGTCGGCCAAGGTTTTGTTTCATGGTCCTAGGAGGGCCGAGAGACCCTTGTTTAGGGTTTAGGGTTTAGGACGCACAACCTTATAACTTATATCTTCACTCCTACTTAACCCTATACCCCAAGGGTCCTATGTACGGTTCTGTGGGATACTTCCCTAAATCATAATAGTAATTCCTAATATAGAAACCCGACATTCTACTAAAACGGTGCTTTGGACCCTTTGGGCTAAACCCCGACACCCTAAACCCAAGGCGACCCGGAACCCCATGGGATCTCAGCGTTGGACAGAAACCTGAAACCACTGAACACGGTTTAGGGTTTACTTGTAGGGGCCTTAATAATTTTGGGGGGTTCCTTATTGTAAGATATTGTAAGTACAGTATAATATACCCCCCGCACCCCTTTTCTGATTATTAAAACACGGTTTAGGGTTTACTGCAGGGGCCTGAATAATTACCTATACTATTTGTTTTTTTTTTTTTT